GGGGGGGGGGGACCTGTTCAGGCAGGATGTCCCAGGGACACTGGGCTCCTGGGAAGCTGGGATGAAGAGACCCCAAGAGCAAAAGTATGATTTGGACTAAGAGCCTGAAATGAGTTTCCCGAGGCAGGGTGTGGGCAGCCCAGGGTTCTCCGGAGCAGGGAAGTGGGGAAGGAACAGGGGCGGTCGTGGTCCTATGGATGCTGGAAACACACAGACAATCAAGTTCTGGGTGGATTCTGACAGGGAAGTGGCTACCTGGGGCTGTTAGCACCCCAAAGGAGGTTAGTCCAGAAAGAAGCAACTCAATCCTGTGTCACAGTCTTCTCTGTCTCTCCATCACCTGGCACAGGTGAAGAACACGTTCTCTGATCGAGTAAGTGACAATCCNGAGGGGGGTCAGTCCAGAAAGAAGCAACTCAATCCTGTGTCACAGTCTTCTCTGTCTCTCCATCACCTGGCACAGGTGAAGAACACGTTCTCTGATCGAGTAAGTGACAATCCAGCTTATTTGCTCCCTAAGCTGGACTCGAACACACTGGGGTTGGACAAGGTCACAGGTATTGGCTTTGGCCTTCTGATCTCAGGGCGGGAATTTCACTTTCCCCCTTTTGGTGGGTGGGGAGGGAGTTACTGACACAGCGGGACCATGACAGGACATTGTCCCTGGGGGACAATGCTGGGGGCTTTGCCCAGGGGGAGGCCCCTGACAGAACCCTTCTGGAACCGAGCCCGAGGTGTTTCCCGTAGGGTCCTTGCCCCACGTGTGGACAGTTCTTACCCAGGACGGTGAGGCGTGCGGGGCGGGACCGGATGGCGGCCTGGATGGCCTGGCACTCATATACGGCATCGTCCTGCAGCTCTGCCCGCAGGATCTTCAGGTGATGCTCTCCCGACAGGTGGTTCCCTACCACCAGGTACTGTGGGTAACCTGTGGGGACAGCAGGTACATCAGGGGGGCTGGTCCAGGGGGGAGGTGACATTCATGATAAATGGGACAGCGGCGCACATCTGAGCGGGGGCTGCTCAGTCTTAGAGGCCCAGGGCCCTGATGTCAGCGTAAGGAGCACAGAGGTGAGAGTTCCCCCAGGGCGCTGGGGCAGGGTGCTGTTGATTTTAAGTTTAGGAATGTTGGGGAAGCTATTGCAGAGAGGGGAGGAGAGGACAGGAGGGAGACGCTGAGTGTGGACAGACACAGTGGGCTCATTACTCGGGAGAGTGCTGCGCTCAGCAGCCTGGGTGACAAGTGGACATGTGTGTTGATAGGACAGAGTGACAGAGAGGCCCAGGCCTAGACCCCCACACAGACAGGCAGAGTAAGAGAGAGAGAGAAGGGGTAAAACAGAGAGAANATAAAACAGAGGGAAGGGAAAATGACTTGGGGAAGGGTTAAGAGTGACTTTGGAGAAAAGTTTTGTTTCATGGGCACCTAGCCCATCCTACCAGTGCCCAGGAGCCTCTGGTCACTTTGGACCATAGCGGCTCTTCTCTCGTCACTCCTGCTACCCAACCCCAAACCGCAGGGTCTGATTAAGCACTTGTGAGGCGCTCAGGACACTGAGGAGTTTGGGGCCCCTTGTACCACTGGAGATGAAGGATGGATAAGTAAAGCTTGAGCCTGATAGATCATTAATCGGCATTCCTGTCACTGTGTGGATGGACTAAATGCCAGTGTAAGTCCTAGTGGCCAGGGTGGGCGGATCCTCTCCTTCCTGGGTCTTGGGCTCCCAAACCCCTTAGTTTCTCTGAGCAGGACCTGTTTCCACCCATCCCCTGACCTGCACTCTGCCCTCTGTCCCACCAGTCTCTCACAGGGCACCCCCCATCCTAGTTCCCTTCTCTCCCCAAAGGCCTGCTACCTTTGGGCAGCTCCAAACTGCTCCTCTTTTGGAAGGACCTTCACCAGGGCAGAGTGACTTCTCAGAAAGGTGACATAGGAGTGGGGATTGAGCACATTTGGCTTTTAAAAGAGAAGACTCGGGCTTAAGCAAGTGAGAGACATACACAGAGACAGACAGCGGGACATGCAATAAACAGCTCTCTCTCTTCAAATATTTCAGTCTCTTAGAGTGGGTTAGGTGTGTTTTTGTGCCTCCCAAGGATCGCATTAGCGCTAATGGGCAGAATGAACTTGGGGAAATTCTGTTAGAATTTTGTGAACAATTCACTGTCCAACAGGGATCTGGGCTGTCAGAGATGGTAGTGAGATCTCCGTCACTGGCTGTATTCAAGCAGAGGTTGTATGGTCATCTGTCAGGCACACTGCAGAGGAGAATTCTACCCTGATGAAAACATTGGAGCTCTAAGGCCCCTTCCATCTCCATAAGCTAAAGGTGTTTCAGAGGCGGGGCAGGGCTCCCTGGGGGGTGGTGGGGCTGTACAGGGCCACCCACTCCTGGTCCCTGAAGGTGGCTGTAATCCTTTGCCGGACTTCCCAGTATGCTTTGTGCGAGCTCCTTGTGGGCCGAGCCCTTGAGGCTCATGTCTTCATGGCTAGCATTGTCCCCACCATGCAATCAAATGTCCCTGCTCCCCACAGCTGTCAGGCCTGGCCAGAGAGGCTCACAGGGCAATCAGCTCTGGCCTGCCTGCCCTCGCTGCCCTCTGCTGGGCTGGGGGAAGCCCAGGTGAGTTAAGCTGGCTCCCCCTGGGGTCAGGGCTGGAAATGGCTTTTAGCCCAGCCTCTCCCTGCAGCCGCTGCCTTCCTTGCATCTGGCTGACCGCACCAGGCCCTCTGCCCAGCCCCTGGATCCCGCTGTCCTGTGATTAGCCCCCTGCTCTCCCGCAGGCACCTTGGCTGGAGCTTGTGTTTTTGTTATCTTGCAAGCAAGCGTTCAGCAGCGATTTGGGCTCTCAGGAGCTGCTGAAAACATCCGTGATGGGTTTGTTTGTATTTGCCTAATTAGGTGCAGAGCTGCGCTGCTATCCCAAGGACTGGCAGCATCTTCCGAAAACATCAGTCCAGAAGCACAGATCCTGTGGGAGCTCCAGCTCCTCCGCAGCATCATTACTCTCTCTCGCTATTCTCAGGGGAGGCAAAATTACTGGGAGTCTGGGGCCTACGGTCAGGTTGCCTGGGTTCAAAGGTCAGCTCTAACACTTCCTCTATGTGTTGTCTTGGGCTAGTTGCTTTTGCCTCTTTGTGCTTCTGTTATCAGGAAAGTGGGAACAACCCTAGGACCTCGTAGAGTTCTGGTGGAGGTTAGACAGGGTGGGCCATGGCAGCAATGCTTCAATATACATACTGGGCAAGACAACTCACATTTTAAATATTAATTCCCCAACCATCATGCTGCAGAGTGCTCTTCGATTTTTCCTTTCCTGGAGCTGTCCACCGCAAGAGAGGCAAGGCCACTTCTCAGCTGAACGCACAGTTGTCTCTCCTCCACCCTCAGCCACTCCCCAGTTGCAGGGACACCCAGATCCCTGTCCTGGATTTTACAGTTTCTGCTAAGCCCAGCAATAGTCACATGCCCTCCACCCCCCACCCCCCACCCAGGGGGAGAGAATAGCTGTGGATGGAGGTGACCAGGAGGGTAGTCCCACTCTTCTTCCTCCTGGAGGAGAGGATGGGTTGGAAGAACATCTCTCTGGGCTTAAGGGTTGACATTCATAACAGCTAACAGATGACAGGGCATGGCACCGACCAGGGAGCTTGGATGCCAGTCATGGACGGCCTCAGGGGCCCATCAGTGCATCTTTGATGAATATGAGGGTGGGTGGGCTGAACAAGGGTTGGACTTTATTTCATACACTTTTTTTTCTTTTCTTCCCATCACATGGTGACCCCTAAAGTCACTAGGCCTCTTTGTGATCTTTCAATCCATTTGGCTCCCTTTGAAGGATGGGAGCTGGGAAGAAGCAGGCTGTGACATAAGTGGGGAATGATTTTGGACCGAGACACAAGAACGCTTTACCTCTGGAAATCAGACTTGACATGAGTGATGTTTGATTTAGCATCGACCCTCCAGGGCAATGTCGTGCTGGGTTTGGACCCATCACCAGATGGAAGGGTTGATGCTAGTTCACTACCAGTTGTCAGAGGTCCTAGGAGCCCTTGGGATCCTGGGCCCGGGCCCGGCCTAGCCTGACTCTGCCGTGGACCTGCGCTGGCAGCTGGAGCTGGGATTCCGTGGGAGGTGGGGGGTGGGTAAGGCTGGGACGGGTTCCAGGCCCTCCCAGGGAGGTCTGGGGTTACTCACTTGAGAGGTCCCTGCCCACGCCCAGAGCCAAGCCGTCTTTGATCCACAGAACGAAGCCATCATACTCTGGGATGGCACAAAGCAGCGTCACCGGCTGCCCCGATACCACGGCCTGGTCCTGGGGTTGCTGGCTGAAGGAGTACACTTGGCCTAGGAAGGAGACAAGACAGCGGTTGGTCAGTTACTTCAAGGAGCAACCTGGAGGGCTTCTCATCAAGTTATGGATGCAGAGCCCAGGCTGGCCCAGGGCACAAGGTTCCCTGTCCCTGTCCCGGGCCCTACACCAGAGCACTGCCCCTCCTGCCCTGGGGCCCAGCAGTGGCTTCCTCACTGCCCCCAGCTTTTCTGCTTTCAGGGGCTGGATCCCCGCTGCAGCCTCATCAATCCCTAACCTACCTACATGCACGCTGAGGTCCAGACATCCTCCCCCAACAGGTCATGTTCAAGGTCACACAGCTAACGAGTGGTGGAGCAGGGGTTTGACCTGGGGCCCACTGACTTCCAAGCCCTGCTTTCCACACCCCCCTCTGCAGCTACAGACAACCCAGGGAAACTGCACCAGGCGGCAGGCTGCTGCCACGGGCTCTCCTCCCCCTGGAAGAGTCAGGATGGCCCCAGAGGTCCGGGACACAAAGGCCCAGGCTCAGACCACAGGCAGGGCCGAGCTCTCAGCAGCAACAGGCCCTCAGCGGGGAGTGATGGGTGTGCGGCTCCGAGGGGAGCAGGGCGGTGGCAGGCTGCGGAGCAGGGCCCCCAGGAGGAGAGACAGAGTCCACACGCGACAGTCTGTGCCAGGCGGCAGGTAGCTGAGTCTATACCCTGATGAGATCTTGGCTGGGTCTCTGAGGAGTCTCATTAACAATCAAATTGGCACTGAATTGTGGGAGGAACACTTTTTATTCTGATTCCAGCTTTACAAATTAGATTTCATAGGACATTTTAATCAGCTACGTGTGGTGGGTAATTTTTTTCTCCCCGTCTCTTCAGGTTCTCTGTTGTAATTAGACTGTTTCTGGCACCAAAACAAGAGGGGAAAGGAGGGAAGAGACAGCGAGGAGAACAGAGATGGGAGAAAGAGCCTGAGGACAAGGGGGGACAGCCGCAAGAGCTGCCCAAGAGCGTGTTATCAGAGACAATCATCAGGCGGTCAGCAGGAAGCCGAGGGAGTGATGCTGGGATGGCCCTGAACAAAACAGTGCCCCAGACCTCAGAAATGTCCATGGATGGGGACCCCTGAAGTGGTAGCTGTTCCGTCGGTCCCCCACTCCCAGTCCAGCTTCCTCTTGGTGCTGGTGACATAACTAGAAAGCTGGGAGCAGGAAGCATCCTGAGGCGAGTTGGAGGGGCTGGGGTGGGGGTGCCGGGTGAGTCCTGAACTGGAGATACCTCAGTGTGGCCATGGCGGTGGCCCGAGGGAGAAGAGGCTGTCTCCATGGAAACCAGCTCTGGCGGCAGGCAGGCTGGGAGGAGTGACGTGTGGAAGCAGGCCCTGGAGGTGGGCACCGAGTAGTCACTATTTCACTCTGGAGGGCGTCTCAGAGCCAGGAGTTGGAGCAGGCAGAAGAGCCCCTCACATAAGACCTGGGGCCTAAAGACAGGAGCCTGAAGGGGAGGGGAGAGCAGGAGGGGCCCAGCTGGAGGACAGGCCCCAGATCCCCCAGCCTCGAGGGCTTCAGAGCAAAGCCTGCTTCTCACTCTGTCTGTTTGGATCCCCCCAGCTTTTCTACGGAAAGGCTGTTTTTTGGGGAGGGGGGGAGATGGACACACAGAATAGTCTCAGAAAACCACCCAAAGAGAGAATTCGCACACTACTTTGGGGGAGGGAATGGTTAGTACTTTAACTGACATTTTCTTTTTCAGTCTAATTTTAATTTTTACACATTAAATACAAGACACTAAAAATACTTTTTTACTTTCTTTTAAATCAATGGGATGCGTTTCCCAACAGAATCATAAGCCCAGTGTCTCTTTCTAGAGTGGATAAAGGTTGAGGTGCTGTGGATGGAGAGGAGGGGAGGGGTGGGCCCACTTCCTTTCACCCAGGAGGACAGACCTCAAGGCCTCTCCTTCCAGCTCAGGACACAGGAGGCATGAAGCGAGAGATAAAGGGGGAGGGGCCAGAGCCTGGAGGAGGTGGGCTCTACAGGACAATAACCGAGTTATTCATGAAAGCCTGCTTTATGCCAGGCCTTTGAATTTGACCACGGTGCCAGTTAACATTATTACCCACAGCTTACAGATGAACTGAGGCTCCTAGAAATGAAGTGACATGACCAAGGTGGACCCAGGTGTAATTCAGGGTCACACTGTGGGTCCAGGTGTAATTCAAGGTCATACTGGATCCAGTTGTAATTCAAGGTCATGTAGTAGGCCCTGGTGTAATTCAAGGTCATACAGTGGACCCAAGTGTAATTTAAAATCACATAGTAAACCCAAGTGTAATTTAAGATCACACTGGGTCCAGGTGTAATTCAGGCTCATACAGTGGACCTACGTGTAACTCAAGATTATGCAGTGGACCCAGGTGTAACTCAAGGTCACATAGTGGGCCCAGGTGTAACTCAAGGTCAAACAGTGGACCCAAGTGTAATTCAAATCCAAGTGTCTTCGGTTGCAAACCCTGTTTTCTTGCCATTATCCCATGCTAGCTATTGAATTAAGGGCCTGAAATCCAATTTTGATTCTCAAACAAGTACTCACCCCACAAAGCAGGCAGCACCTCAGAGCATCTAAAGAGAGGCAGAGAATCTTTGGTGTGAAAAGCAATTCTCGGCTCTCCCCTAAATTTACATGGCCTCCTCCCAACACCCCTGGTCTACACCACCAGTTACGGTTCAGAGTGGGGCCCTGTGCTGGCCACCGTG